AAACTGACCAGATAGGTAGGGAATAAAGTGATTTGAAAATAAGCGAGACGATCTTGAGGTCGATCCGTTTGGTGATTGGGAGCCAGTGGAACCTGGCAAGGACTGATGCGATCAGGGGACAGAGTTTAGAGACAGAGTAAAGGTCCCTCTACACTGACAGAGTAAAATTGTACAGTGCTGTTCCCCTGCTGAGCAGGAGGATGGCAACCTACAGGCTGAGGTTGTTGGGCATGAAGTCATACTTGTCCACTCGTACCTTTCCTCATGAATTGAAAGACCGAGTGGTCCAATATCTCTTTGGGGAGAGTTGAGTAGTTGACCATGGGATTGTCTCGCATGGTGGTGAAGCTGGTTTTCTGCACAATGACGTCAATGATTTGGTCGGACAGATCCCTCTCCAAGAACTTTGCTACTTTCATGATCTCCTGTTTGGAATTCTGAGAATGAGAGATTTGTTCAGCGCCCAAGCAATGTGAGTAACAGTGCAACCAAGATAAAACTTTTTGGGATCTCCCAAAGACGTTTGTTCAGCCAATCCCTCCCCAGCCCTAAATGCCTTCTTTCCCATTATCCAGCCTCTCTCTTACCCGTTCCCAGATCTTCCCCCTCACCCTTTCCCTGCTCCCCCCTCACCCATTCCCCCCTCTCCTTTCCCCATTCCCCCCTCACCCTTTACCACTCTCCCCTCACGCTTTCCCTGCTCCTCCTCTCCCCCTTTCCCTACTCCCCCCTCACCCTATCCCCACTCCTCCTTCACCCTTTCCCTACTCCCCCTCACCCTTTTCCCCCCTCCCCTTTTTCCCACTCTCTCCGCTCCCCCCTCACCCTTTCCCTGCAACCCCCTCCCCCCTTCCAATCACTTTTTCCTTCCCTTCTATATTTTTCAGTCTAATTTTCTTTTTTATTATTTTTACTTTGATTCAATGCCTCTCTTTCACCTCTTACTTTCGTCTAAATTTCTCAATTCGTCCAAGGAATTTAATCCAAACCTTTTTAATTTCATCAAAGAACATGTAGAGGATTCAATGTTTGTTTCTCTTTTCCCACCAGCCGCTCACATGATCGTACCAGGAACCCCAGCCCACTGGGGAAGGCAAGGTCACAATTTAAACACATCATATTTCCCCGCTCCAACACTCTGCCCTTCCCTATGCACATGCTTTTGGAGGCAACATGACAGTAGAACAAGAGGACATGGGTTTAGAGTTATAAAGGGCAATTTCCAGACAGCTACCAGGAAACTTTTCTTTACTCAGAGGGTAATTAACGAATGGAACAGGTTGCTAGGCAGAAGTGTGAGGCCAGGACCAGGACTCATTTAAAAAGCAGCTTGAAGCTATGATGGGAATTCGGAAGAGCGGATTTTCTGGAAGGGCTCAGAAAGGGCTCTATGGCCTTCTTCATCTGAACCGACCTTGTGAAATATCCTGCACTTCTGCCCCCCTCTAATCAGTCCCCCTCCAATCAGTGCCCCCTCACATACCATTGCCAGTGATAACTTTATTGAAGAATTCTTCCCAGGTCCCTGGTTCTGGCTCCATCATTAGTATTTTGTCAAAGTGGTAATACGAGACCAGGTTATCTTTGGCATTTCAAGCCACGTAAATGATCTGGAAATAAAAAAGTAAGTATTTCTCATGAATTCTAATGTAAACGTCAGCCAGGCTGCTGGCTTTGTGTGCGGTGCTCAGGTTGGACGCTCTGTACAGTGGCAGCACAAGTAGAAACATAAAAATAGGCGTAGCCATTCAGCCCCTCAAGCCTGTTTGCCATTCTATAAGATCTTGGCTGATCGGCATTTCAGGACCAATTACCTGCCCTTGCCCCGTATCCCTTATAGAGATGGAGCTACATGGAACTGATTCCTTTACTGTGAGCTCAGGCAGCTTAATCCTGGAAGCTGCACATAGTGGGAACCAGTGCAGTTTCACCAATTTGTCTTTAATCTGTACAATCACAGAATGAACCCTCCCCACCACCTGTCATCAGCTGATATTCTTAACAGTATAAAGCACCATCGGCTCTCTCACATCCCCTCAACATACAATCCATGCTCACCTTGCAATCCTGCTCTAGGAAGGATTTGGGAAGCAGGAAGAAAGGGAGATGAGTTTTAATGATCCGTGGAGATGGCATTGAATCCATCCAATCCAATGCTGTTGAAGAGAGTAAACAGTTAGTGTGAGCAGCCATCACACTCTGTGTCCAGGAAAGAACTCTATCATATACACCCTCATGGGACAGTGAGAGGAGACTGGGTACAGACTGTCCCAGGACAGTGTGTGGGGATTGTGGACTAGAGGAGGTCCATCACTTGCTTGCATTTGGCGATGGAGATGAAGATGAAGGGAAGATGGGCAGAGGCAGTGGTTGGTCATGGGTTTCCACATGTGTGTTGGCCAGTGGCCAAAAAAAACCCGCCAGCTCAGGAGTCCAGCAATATTTACCTGGTTCAACTCCTGGGAAAAATAATTCAAGGAATGGGCTGCGAAACATCACTGGAGCACGTTGGCATTTCTCCACATCTCCTTGGGAGTAAATAAAATCCACAATTTTCTGCATCCAAGTCGTTCCTGATAATTTGAATCGATGAGACAAGGTCAGGTGATCTCTTGTTGCACTCAGTGTTTTAGTGATGAGATGCTGATGCAGTGTGGTGTAGCCACATGTTATTGTCACTATACAGCCCCTGTAACTAGTGTCACATCCAACTGTGTCCAACACTCACTCTGCGATTCTGTTTCTCACTGAGATGTTTCTCACATTCACATGAGTCTGTGTCTTACAATCACTGGGACAGCGACATACACCCAATGGATCCCTGTCATACACTCACTGGGTCTGTGTCACACACTCACCAGGTCTGTATCATACACTCACTGGGTCTGTGTCACACACTCACCAGGTCTGTATCATACACTCACTGGGTTTGTGTCGCACACTCACCGAGTATGTGTCTCACACTCACCGAGTCTGTGTCTCACACTCACTGAGTATATGTCACACATCCACCGAATATATGTTACACACTCACTAGGTATGTGTCGCACACTCACCGGGTCTGTGTTGCACATTCACTGGGTATCTGTTGCATACTCATTGGGTCTGTGTCACACACTCACCAGGTATGTGTTGCACATTCACCGAGTATGTGTCGCACACTCACCGGGTCTGTGTCGCACAATCTCTGAGTATGTGTCGCAAATTCACAGAGTATGTATTGCACACTCACCAAGTATGTATTGCACACTCCCCGAGTCTGTGTCGCACACTCTCACCTGCTTTAGGGAATGTTGCAATCAGCAGATCATCTGGCCGAGCCTGGAACCTGGAGACTCAACTCCAGTTGTCGATGATGTGCTCGATCATTGGCACCCCCTCCGCTCGCTTCAACTGGGGGCGAACTACTCCGGCTGAACTGTTACTGGTCATTGCCTGCCTGTATACAGAGATTAGATCAGGGTGGGCAAAGATGGCCCGCGGGCCATATCCGGCCCGCCAAATGATTCTATCCGGCCTGTTATTGTGTCTAGCGATAGAAAAAATTATAGTTCGTTCAGTTCCAGAATGTTGCACAAATTTCACATTGGAATCAGATCGGGAACATCAGCCAATCACACTGCTTAGTTGTGCGCACGTTCCCTTAAGTGTTGAATCAGGCTGACGTCAGAAACGTATGGATCGGCAAATTTTCAAACGTGCGCAGGGCATACTTTTCACTGAAGAGGACGCTAATTCGAAATGAGTTTATCAAAGAAGCAGAAAGTGAACGCTGGAGGATGAATATTCAACAGAGAGTGGACTTCTAAATTTTTTTTACCAGTGTGAGTGGAAAAGCTGTGTGCTTAATTTGCAAAGAAAGTGTGGCAGTGCTCAAAGACTACAACTTGAATCGTCATTTTGAGAGCAAACATGCTTGCAAATATAAAAATGTTTCTGCCGAAGAAAAAGGAAAGAAAGCTGATGACATGGTTGTTCGAATGCAAAAAGAGCAAAGCATTTTCACAAAGCAATTTGCATCCCAGGATGAGATTACAAGAGTGAGTTATGTGATCGCACACAAAATTGCCAAGATCAGCAAACCATTCTCTGAAGGAGAATCTATAAAGGAATGTATGGTTGACTCTGCTTCGATTTTATGCCTAAACAAGAAAAAACAGTTCGAGAACATTAGCTTGTCAAGGCGAACTATTGTGAGTTGTGTCAAGGATATCTCTGAGGGCTTTGAAGGCGAGGATGAGGATTTTGAACTCTATGCTCTGGGGGATGGAGAGCCAGTGGAGCCAGGCAAGGAGATTAATACCCCATTTATGGGTAAGATTTGGTCATGACTGTGCTTCCACAAGTGAATCTTAACAGGAGCACTTTCCTGGCATTTGCTAGCTCAATGAGTAGCTGCTAACCACAGAAACTACACTTGATCTTAGCTAAAAGGCAGAGAAGATACTTTTTTTAAGAAAAATGCAATATGTTCCAGCACTGGGGGAGTTAAGACATTTGACTTGCAAGGCTCATTTTTTACGTTTGTTGCATATACAAAGCTTTTGGGGGAAAATTGCTCTTCTTCCCAGGGTCAGCTAAAGAGCTGTAGATTGCGGCTCACTAACTGTTGGATGCAGTTACAAAGGCTTAGATATTTATAAAATGTAAATCGGAAGGCCAGAATTCCATTTATGACACTTAAAAAATTCAGAATAGAGTTCGTAAAACATATTGCGGGGGTAGGGGGCAGGAATCAGCACACCCACACAAGAGCTGGCATAATTTTTCTAACAAGGTCATCATTCATTCCAGGTCTCCCTCTTGATAAAGTAGGGAGATGGGACAGTGTGGGGTGTATTGATGGAATCAGTCAAACTCTCCTTGTGAATGCTTTGAATTAATCAAGCGTTAAATAGAGAGGAACTGAGTTCAATGGCTAGACATGTGAAGTATCCGTACAGCACTGACATGATTACATTGGGGCCACACTCCAAGTGTTTCCTATATTACCATCTCCTTTAGGTCAGTGTCTCCCCTGTAGTTACCCTTACTTCAGTGTACTCAATCATTTGGTCTAATGAGGTAAGTTTCTCAATCAGTGTGGCTAGCCTTGAACAGCACGACATGTCGAATGAATTGAGGAACTCAGGGATCTTTTTGATACTGCTGATGATGACCTTGATGATCCCACCATTGACAGTCGGGCCTTCAGCCTCTCTGCCCCCACAGTCCCTTCGTCTCTCTCCCTCCCTTGCCTCCTTCAAGGCCCATCTCAAGAACTTCCTCTTCGATCATACCTTTGGTCACCCTCCTACCTCTACACTCCATACCTTCCACCCTTCCTGATCCCAACCCCCCGTTTGGGTCCAAATCCCTGACTGTCCAGTGCCTTGGGATGTCCTCCCAACATGAAAGGCAAATTTATTGTTGTTTTACTCCCTGTTGGCCCAGTCCTGGTGGATTTCTCTCTGCACAGGGTTGTCTTGGCCCTCAATTGCCAGACAATTCCTTAAAAGTATTATCTGAAAGTCAACCATAATGACTCTCCCCCTCCTCCCACAACATATCCCCTCTCCCTCTCCTCACTGCATATTCGATGTGCATCAATGTGACTCAGTGGTAGCACTCTTGTCTCTGAGTCAGAAGGTGGTGGATTAAAGTCTCACGTAGCGACTAGGAATCACATAGTCTAAGATGACGCTCCAATGCAGTGATGGGGGTGCGTTTCTTTGTTGGAGATGCCGTCCATTGTATGAAACATTAGGGTCCCATCTACCTGTTCAGGTGGACATTAAAGATCCCACTCACTATTCGAAAAGAAAAGGGAGTTTCTCCCTAGTCTGGCCAACAATCCCTTGGATAAAGTTGGTCACTCACTTTGTGGCTGTTTGTGGCACATTGCTGTATGCAATTGGCTGCTGCATTTTGCCCACAAAATACAAAGTCAATCTACTATACAGTATAAAGAAAAGACAGCACATCCCCTCTCTCCTCATGGCACTTCTCCTCTCTCCTCACTGCATATCTCCTCTCCTCATAGCACATCCTGCCTCCTCAGTCTCATCAAACCTAGCTGAGAATTCTGCAAGATCTCTACACATCCAGTGGAATAATAATCCATCAAGAAGAAAAAAAAAATAAATTGGTCACTTCAATCCACGACTGTTTGTGTGACATGGCTGCGCGCAATTGGTTGCCGCGTTTCACCCACAAATATACAGTCAATTCACTTCACAGTATATTCCGTGAAGCGCTTTGAGATGGCTCGAAAATGTGAAAAGCATTATATCAAATGCAAGGAATATTATTATATATTGTAATGCTGAGTGACAGCTTGCTGTCAACATTAAACTCTGTTAAATTATTAAATTAAATCATTAAATTCTGTCTAGATTATGAGCCTGTCAGCTATCCAAGTACCATATATAAACATGAGTAGGAAAATTAACCAGCTTAAGGGGAGAACGGTGGGGAGAGGTACTGAGTGCTGGGATCTCCAGAGTGGATGCTTGAGTGGACTTCAACAAATTGTTGAGACTATGCTGAGAGTCAGGCTGTGGAGATGGCAGAACTCACATTTAAACAGAACACGAATGCTTTGAGACGTCTCAACGACGTCAACCTTATCTGATGAGGAACCACAGCTGTTCTCTTCTCACTGCATGTTTCCTCTCTCCTCACTGCACACCCCCTCCCTCCTCACTGCACATGCTAACATACCGTTCGCCTTCCTAATTGCTGCTGCCCTGCAGACTAACTTTCTGTGATTGGTGTACAAGGACACCCAAGTCCCTCTGGACACTAACACATTCCAATCTCTCCCCTTCTAAAAAATAACCCGCTCTACTGTTTTTGCTACCGAGGTGGATGACTTTGCACTTCCCTACATTATACTTCATCTGCCACCTACCTGCACAATCACCTAACCTATCTATGTCTCGCTCCATTTTTTTAATGTCGTCCTCTGTGTTGACACTTCCTCCTAGTTTTGTGTCATCCGCAAATTTAGATATATTAACTTCGATGTCCTCATCTAGATCGTTGATGCAGATGGTAAATAGCTGAGGCCCAAGGACTGATCCTTGTGGCACTCCACTAGTCACATTCCACCAATCTGAAAAGGACCCGTTTATCCCTACTCTTTGCTTCCTACCCGTTAACCATTCCCCAATCCATGTTAATATGCTCCCCCCCCAATTCCATGGCCCCCTATCTTTTGGACTAACCTTTTATGCGGCACCTTATCAAGTGCCTTCTGGAAGTCCAAATAGACCACATCCACTGATTCACCCTTATCTAGTTTACTCGAAATATCCTCAAAAAATTCTATGAGATTTGTAAAACATGACTTACCTTTTGTAAAGCGATGTTGACTTGGCTTAATTATATTGTGATCCTCTAAATACCGCACTACCACATCCTTAATCAACAATTCTAAAATTTTTCCTATCACTGATGTCCTCTCTCCTCCCTGCACATCCCTTTTCTCCTCATTGTACATCTCCTCTCCACTCACGCACATCTCTTCTCTCCTCACTGCACATCTCCTCTCTCTTCACTGCACATCTCGCTCCTCACTGCACATCTCCTCTCTCCTCATTGTACATCTCTCTCCTTATTGCACATCTCCTCTCCTCACTGCACATCTCCTCTCTCCTCACTGCTCATCTCCTCACTGTACATCTCCTCTCTCCTCACTTTACATCTTCTCACGACTCACTGTACTTCTCCTCACTCCTCACTGCACACCCCCTCTCTCCTTGTAGCACGTGCTGTCTCCCAAGTCTCATCAAACCTAGCTTGATTCTGCAAGGTTTCAGGCAGATTTTCTGTTCCATTTTATGCACCTGAAGGGATCAGATGTGCTGGAGAGATGTATCTTTTTGCCCTCACTCCTGGCACGCAGCACCTCTTGGACTGTTGAGAAGGTCTTCGACTTTCGAGTTTGAGTTGCAAAACTGCTCAACGATTAGTTATTCTTCACAACAACAGCAGCGGACTCCGCACATCCAGTGGAATGCTGAGTGAGGGAACCTGTGGCACTATGCTGAACACTGACAACTGCGTGGCTGAATTTTGCATGTTAATAGTTTGCTGGCTGCATGTATTAAGACTCTTCCGTCAGCAGACTGTGGTTGGGCCATCAGCCTTTCTGCTCCCACCCTTTGGAACTTCAGCCAGGCCTCCGCCATCACCCCGCCCTTACCACCAGCCAGCCCCCCGCCCCTGCCCCCGAGCAATCACCCCGCCCCTAACCCAGCCAGCCCCCTGGTCCAGACATCACCCCCAGCTAGTACCTGCCCCAGCTTCCCCCCCACCCCCAAACAGCACCCAAACCCCAACCAGTACCGGCCCCAGCTACCCACACCCTCAGACCGCACACAATCCCCAGCCAGCAATCGCCCCAGCCAACACCCTGCCTCCAGCCTGCCATCAGCCAGACTATATGTGAATGGGGAAAGTACCAGAGGATGACTGGAGACATGGAATTTTACACCAATATAAATCAATGAAGAGAAGGGGAGAACCCCAACTCCACCCCCCGCCCAACACACACACACACACACACACACACACACACAACAATTCTGGTAAGTGGGAATGGAATGATAAATATGAACCATATTACTTCCTCTTACAAAAGCGATGGAGAAGTATGAAAATATCAAAACGTACACAGGCAATTGATGTAGCCAAGAATAGGCTTTTTCTCTAGAACCACACACAACAGCAAAACATTATTACATTAGAATAATGGCATTTAGATGATTTAGAAGTGTTTCCGTTGTAAATAAAAAATAATAAGGATTATTTTTATAAAGAAATAGGTGGGGCTCAGGTAAAATCTAAATATGCTTCTGCTCCTCTACACAGCTGTTTGGTATACTTTTTTAAGTACCAGGATTGCCAAGGCACAGTGATACTGGGACACTGAATTTGCAGCTGTAGTTCTCCAGTGTTGTGCAATGAGAGGAAGCCCACTGTGCAAGAGAGGAACTTCTTTAAGAATGAGAGGAAAAGTCCAGCCAGCCTACTTTTGTTTAGTCTGAGTTGTAAAGTAGAGATGTGTAGAACTAAGATAAGGACAGGAACGAGGTTGGCTGCAAAGCCCATCCCTGTGGTTGAATTGATCACCAACTCTGACTGGTAACAACTCGCGTATGAAGAATGGGATCTGGGCAAACTACCTAAAGCCCACTGATACTTTATTGTCTCAAGACCATTCACTGTGTTTAGGGAAGTCAATGCAAAAGGGAAAAAAATTAGGCAATTTTAAACCAAAAAGAAATAAGCTTAAGTTGCGAGCTTCAATATTATTACTTTACTCCAGGGAGGCCCAATCTTTTAGCTGCTGAGGGCCTGATACCCCTTTTGAGAAACGTCCATGGGCCGCATAAGCAACATTACAGAAACATAACATTTACGAGTTACCATAAATAATCCTTGCATATGATATAGTGCCTTATCACATCTTTGAGATGTCTCAAAGCGCTTCCCAAAATACACTGCAAAATGAATTGACTGTATATTTTGTGGACGAAATGCGGCAGCCAATTGTGCACAGCAGTGTCCCACAAACAGTGGTGGATTGAGTGACTAATTTTTTTTATTTTGAAGGGTTATGGAGGGAGCAGGTCGGCCAGATGAAATGGAGGGAGGGAGGGGTGTGGGATGGATAAAAGTGGCCCCTGGGTCGGATGTGGCCCGTGGGCCATTAGTTGGACCACCCTGTTTTACCCTAACATGAATGACTACTACATGCTTCCCAGTATATGTATTCTTCTGGACTCTAATCTTATCCCTGTGATCTAAAGGCAGGCAAGAAGGGCAATTCTTCTTGCCTGCCTTGAGAGGAATTGAGGCAGAGAGGTTGGAGAGGTTGGGAGGTGCTAGGTGAGTTGGAAGTAATGCAGATTGCTGCTATCTTTGGTATTATTGAAGCAAACTGAATTTGTATTGATCAAGAATGGCACATTAAGTAAAAGAATAATCCTTACATTTAATGTCTCATGGACAGTTTAATGCAACAAGAACAACAAGATTACATTTGTATAGCGCCTTTCATGTCAGGAGGACGTCCCAAGGCGCTGGACAGTGTATAGCATATCGGACCCGAGCTGGGGTCAGTGGGGGGAGAAGGGAGGGGAGGGGAAGGGAGGTGGCCGATGGCATGATTGAAGAGGAGAGTTTTGAGGCAGGACTTGAAGGAGGCTAAGGAGGGGGTGAGGCGGAGTGACTGGGGAATAGAATTCCAGAGGTCGGGGGCAGAGTGACTGAAGGCTCTCCCACCAATGGTGGGGCGGGTGGGTTGGGGGATGTGGAGCAGGCCAGAGCCGGCTGAGCGCAGGGAGCGGGCAGGTTGGTAGGGGGTTAGGAGGTCGCAGAGGTAGATGGGGCGAGGCCATGGAGGGCTTTGTAGGTGAGGACAAGGATCTTGAACTGGATCCTCTGAAGGACAGGGAGCCAATGGATTGGGTGAGAGTGGGGGAGATGGGGTCACGGAATTTGGTGCAGGAGAGGACACGGGCTTCAGAGT